CCCCCCCCCCCGAATTTCCGGCGGGGGGTTCATATCGAAACATCCGCGGGGCCCCGGAAGTGTCCCCATATCCCCGAGTTTAGGACACAACGGCGTTGTTATTTGGTTGCCTCGCGTGCCTGAGAGGGGAGTGGGCACGTCCCTAGCAAGGAACAGGAGCGTTAAGGCACAATAACCCTCCCCAGGCAGCCCTCTCCCGAAAACGGGCTCTCAGGCAAATTCCAAGGCATGCCTGAGGGGCCAGGGCTTACTACTACTGCTGTGCATAGATAGTTAGAAACTCTTATGTACTAGACTATGTTCCGCGGTGCCCATCGATCATTCGTTCATTTTTTTTTATTCTTTCTTTGTTCGCCACGCGTGCAGAGGCGGGCGTGATGCTTTTTTTCCGGGTGTTGATTCCAATGAACTTTGACTAATCGATTCCGCTCCTCCTGTCCTGGCCTATCTACCTAGTGGATAGCGCTGCTAGTAGTTCGTGTGTACACAGAGGGAAGAGAGTGCTGAACTCTTCTCGCATTAAAAATCGAAGGCAAAGTACCGCAGGAGGGGAGGGTAGAGAGAGGCTCTTCTGTGTGACCACGGGTTGGAGTAGACGGCACTACTAGTAGTGCTGTGAGCGCTGATTTGAAGTGAAGACAAGTAAAAAAAGAAAGAATCGATGATAATAATATAGGGTGAAATAAAGAATCGATGATAGATAATAGGGTGTGTGTGTTTTTATTATTTGCATCGACCGCGCTAACCGGCTGACCAATGAAAAGACGTCAGTCTTAGTGCGATGGAAAACACAAAACACTTCAATCTGCCATGAACTGGGACCCCGTGAGGGGGCAGCATGGGGGAGGCTAAACTATCCGTCGGATTAGAAATAGAAACAGCAGCAACAGACGAAGAGTGCACGCGTATACCAAGGCTATTACCTAGTACTCGAGTTCGTTTCGGAGTACTTTCACCAGTGTCCTCTTTGTTTTCGCTACCATCATTCTGATCCTCATTTCGACAAGAAGAATCTCTGGGCAGTTCTTCCCTAGCCCTACGTTTCTTGTTGTGGGGAAGGTCATCTGGCTCAAACCCTTTGCTCTCTTCCACTCCTCCATGTTTTCCTGCTCCATCGTTTTCTCCATCCTCCTTTCTCCTCTTTCCCTTTCCTTCGTCTTCGTCACTCCCAAAATAATTACTCTCACTACTATCATCGTTGTTGCAGAGATCCCAACCGATTGGCCCTGGTGGAAGTTGGTCGATCAGTAGCCCATGACGTTTGAACACATCGCCAGTTCGCATCGAGAGAAAACGAGCTAGCTCGAAGGTAAACCGTCTCCGAATCCTGTTAGTATGAAAAGCTTTCAGGCGAACTAAGGCCCTCTCGTCGTCAAAATTTCCCCGGCAAAAAGGTTCGTGCGCCACGTGGTTGGCGATAGCAACGATGAGTCGATTGGTGGTGCCTTTGCCAAGACCACCATTCAATTCGTTGAAAAAGCAGCAGTTAGGAGGGTAGATCTAGACGGACGGGTTGAAAGTTCCCGCATAGTGATTTGCCTTACTTGCAGCTCGATCTTCGAGGGCTGATCCTGGCTTAAGGATCGACTTGTCGATGCTTCGACCTGCTGATGGGTTGACGATTGTTACGTCGATCAGAATGGACTTGGTGCAGAGGTCCTCTTCCTTCTCTCCTGCGTGTAATCCTGGGGGGATTACCAAATCCATCTTGTATANCACATAAGAGTTATCGTGCATGCTAACATGCACGATTGGGGGGTGTAGTCACGAAAGGGTTAAGGATCGACTTTTCGATGCTTCGACCCGCGGATGGGTTGACGATTGTTACGTCTATGAGAATGGACTTGGTGCAGAGTTCCGGGTGTGTGTGTGTGGATGATGTGGAACTTTGTCGTGTGTGTACAGTTTCTCCGCCAGCAACACCAACAACGCGTTTCTTTCAGCTGTAATAATGTAGTGTCAGTACAGCAAGCAGTCAAACACAACACCACTAGTAGTGCGTACAAATGTTGGAGGGTATACGGGCAACAAAAACAAGAGAAAAAATGAGGGGAAAAACATGTTCGTTCTTCAATTTGGCCCTCCGGGGTACCTAGCTAGCTAGGTGTGCGGGACACTTTTCCCGCACGCCCTTGATTTAGGAGCTGAAATTTTGACATGTGGTCGGCAGTAAAACATGTGGTCGGCATTAGTATGCTATTACAACAACGACGACCTTGACCAGTCGCACCATAGATATATATATATTTTTACACGGTAGCCCTATTTATTCAATATATATAGATAATAAATGGAATTCCTATTGTTGTTGTGTATATTATTAAAATAAAGGGGGCACTGATAGGGGGACTAAAAAAAAAACAGGTGCGGCTGGTCCACGTCTTCGTGATACCAAAGCCGACCACATGTATGTATGTTAGTGTTGGATATCGTATCGATTATTTCGATATATCGTATCGAATTGTTATCGTATCGATATCGATCGGTTATCGAAAGAAGTTGGTTCTTTCGATGTTTCGATGTTTCGATATCGATACGATATTTCGATAAATACTCCATGGAACCCCACAGCAGCAGCAGCACACAGCAGCGCACAGCTGCATGCAGAGCTACAGTGAACAACTCAACACACATCACGTAGCACACAGCACACTTCGAAGCAGCAGGGTGCAATCCTGCGAGTGGGTGCATGATGAGCGCCTCGTCCGGGGACGCGGCTGCGGCTGCCGCAGGCGTTCGTTGATGATGTGAAGTGGTGGATGTGGTCGACATCAACAACTAACTATTTGTTGTAACGCCTACTACCTGCAGGCCTAAGTGTACAAGTAGTTGTTAAGGAGTGTTGCTGTATGGCACAGATAGGGTACACAGTCGGTCTAGATTCAGATGGGGGACGTCAGGAGGTATACCCTCTTAGGACGTACCCCATCGGGACTTAGCTATCTGCGTGCCCCCAGGTTGAGGGCAATCCGCCTCACCTCAGACCTACCTGTAGCAGACCCGCTTCTGCAATAACAAGCAACCTTCCCATCTCAACGTGCTCGTGGACAAGAGTGTCTACGGCAGAATCTACATCTACTACATCTAGGAGGCAAGCCACCGTCGGGCGGGCATTCCTTTAAACTTGGCGTCAGCGGCAGGCCATAATATGCGAAGGTGTACCGATTCAGGTAAAAGTCCATCGACGGATACCCTGCGCATCGGCTCCTCCTTAACACTCTCCACCCACAGAATTTACCCTCAACTGGGAACGAACCTCTTGTGGCCGGGATGGGTAATTCGATGGAAGTGTCGCAAGGTTCTTTGTAGGATAGACTCCAAGAGGTGTTCTCAGGACTGACACACATTGTGTCCTTGGGAAAATATATAAGTCAGGAGAAAAAGTGTGCACCCAAGGGGATTCGAACCAGTATCCAGCTGACGCCATATGCGAGATTCCAAAGTTTACTGTTGGAGCGTGGGCTTGGGTGTACAACACGGCTGCTACGATTCGCCAAGGTGCGCGCAAGGACACCGATCAACAGGTGCTCAAGGCCAAGTTCGCGCTCTCCTGGACGGGACCCTACAAAGTACTTGCTGTGGGGCCAGCCTCTGCGAAAGACACCCCGGACGGACACCCATTGGCTCACAAACTGCTCTACCTTGACCTTCCTTCTGATCTTTCGGGCCCAGCAGCTCGTTCGAGGGTGTCTGTTCTTCGTTGCAAGCCCTGCCGCAACCCGTATGAGACGGACGATCGGCCACAGTCCATGCCTGCAGAANGAGGGTGTCTGTTCTTCGTTGCAAGCCCTGCCGCAACCCGTATGAGACGGACGATCGGCCACATTCCATGCCTGCAGAATTCTCTCGCTATGCTTTGCATTCTTTCGGAGATAAATGTCCGCCGTTTCATGTCACCCCAGATGATGTGTCGGCGCCGGTGGGACGTCTGAAGGTTGACTACATTTCGGGACA